TACTTCCATCGTTCCCTATAAAGTAACGCCACTGTCCCCTTCACTGACTCTTACAGACTTCACAAACACCAAAAACAACAGCAAAAGCAATAACAACCCTTAATTTCAATTTCAGTTTCAGAGTTTCAGAGTCTAGAAATCGAAGATGAACCATTTGAACAGAGTTTGGATGGCGGCGAGCGTGGCCGTGGTGCAGGGCCCTGCCGACCAGGGGCCTAAGTGGACATCCGGTCTTAAATCCTTCCAGCTAAGCAGGAGGAGATGCTTGGGTGGTGCCGGGGATGCTTCGGATCTCCGCCCATTGTCCGGCGCGGTCGGGTCGGGTTTCTCCCAAGTTTGTGAGGAGAGACGGAACCAGGCCGACGAGTCTATCCAAAAAGTCATGTACTTGAACTGCTGGGGTCAGGGCTGAGATCGCCGGCGATTGGAATTTTCCGGCGAAGAATGATTGGAGTTTTTAACTCGGGAGTTGCCGTTGACTCTCGGAGGGGTGTGGTTGGGTTAAATTGAAACGGGTAACTCCACGATTGAGTTGACGCGGATGGAATCTTTCCTTGTAAATTGTACAGAAAATCTTAAATTGTGGAGATTTAGAGGAAAACCATGAATAATAGATGGGACCTTTTATTTTCATATCTTTCTTTTTTATTTTTTTATTTAAATTTCATGAAAGGAACTTTCAATTGATCAACCAAAAAATAAAAAACCCAAGTTCATGTTACCAATTAAAATTTACATAACTGAATAAAATGAATTGACTAACCCTAAAAGTTTTCACAAAATATGTAAATGTTGTTGATTAACAAGTGTTTTCCATTTAAAATCGTTTATATTGTAAAATAATAGTAGTAAACATGTCAAATTATACTATGGGCCTATAAAAAAAAATTTATACTATGGGCTTTAGATTGAAAAAAACTTAACATTGGCTAGGCACATTGGGCCATGAGCAAATCAAAAAAGTGGCCGGGGGCATAAGTTGAAATCCGGCTATGAATATGGCCCTTAGGTGAGACAAATATAGAAGATGAATATAGAATTGACTTATATATAGCGCTTAGGTA